ACACTTTAGTTTTAGAATTTACTTTATCTGATTTCCTTATATAACTGATTGAATTGTTTTGGCACAGGGAAGGGTTCACTACATCATGCCTAGATTTCCAGAGGAATATTGAAAAGGGACAACTACCAAAGCAAACAAACATCAAAAACCTAACCCGATTCAATTCATATTTTGACATCCTTTTTATTAAGGCTAAAGCAATCGGAGCTGATAGATACTGTATAGACACATCGATTATCAATGCTAAATTTTATATTTAGCGTAAAAGAGATGAAAAAAGAGACAAAATTTATATGAATTAAAATTTTAAGGGAGCACAGTGAATTTCCTTGTGAATCATGGCAAACTTATGAGTTTCCTTCTCATGGTGCAGCATTATTATTTTCTTCATCTCCTAATTCTCTTTTGTCATGTTTTTTCATAGCTGATTCAAGAACCTCAATAAAACTGTTGGAGGAGGAGTTATGTTGTCTAAGGATGAAGCATGATGAGATCCTTCAAAGAATTAACAACATGCGGTACTGGTCAAGATCTATGTGAATGTGCATAAAAAAATAAATATAATACTACAGGTTATCTGAATCTCTTACTTTGCGCGGTTTGGCCAGTCTCAATATTGTTTGCACAGTTTGCACAATTGAAACAGATATATGGAGAGAGAGAGAGAGAGAGAGGTGTTTAGAGTGAGGAATTTATATGTACAATGGCTGTTTATGAATCCTTTGCTTAAAAGTTTCTAAACCTCTTTCTCAACTTACAAGTGTCTTTCATGAGCTAAATGGTTTACTTGTCATCATAATCAGCCATTACTGTACAAACTCCCTGATTTAGTACTCCATATCTTATCTACTATCAGACAGTGATCAACTAAAGCTTATAGATCTAGAGATGCAGTTTCTCTAGCATTTGTGATGAAGTTGTCTCACGGACTAATTCATGTTAGTAAACTTGGATTATCAATAATCAAGTTCAAACAGTTATATTTGGATAACATAAAAGAGTAGTTTGTATATTCCTCTGTTTTTCAACTCTCTTGTTGAGATTTCTGGTCTGTTCTTATGTTGTCAAATTTAATCGATTTACATTTCAATGCAGGATTAAATTGTTCAACCGCAAAAGAGGTTGGCAGTTTCACTTTCATAGTGTTCCACACATAATTAGTGCACTCATTGTTCTAGATAACAAATGTTGTCTGCATATTCTTTATGTTCTTTCACAAATAAGATTTGTTGCCTTTAATAATTTTGGATGCTACCAGCATGCTTGGTTTGGTTTTGTGAAGTCTTGTGTTAAGAAGTGTAAAAAAGCTAATTCTTTGATTCACTGTACTATTACTATGTCTGTAGAGCTATAATTGTCGTTTGGAACATTCCCTCTACACGGCTCCACTGCTAGCAATTTTTTATAATGCAGTAGATTAGGAGAGAAACATGGGTGTAATGTGCTTGCCACAGATAAGCTGATGTATATACTTCTGAAACCCATCCACATGTTGAGCAAACTAGTAATTCTTTCATGTTAAGTTTTATGGGTATTTCTCTCTATTTGACATTTGATGAGGTTTTGTGAAATTATTTAACAGCTATTGGAATGTCTAATACAATTCCATTACCTGGAATTTTGCAATCCTTTTTCCAAATAAAAATCTCTCAAAGCTGTGTGTGATAGTTTCCATAAAAGTATTACCAGCACTTCAGTTTTAGAATTTACTTTATCTGATTTCCTCATATAACTGACTGAATTGTTTTGGCACAGGGAAGGGTTCACTACATCATGCCTAGATTTCCAGAGGAATATTGAAAAGGGACAACTACCAAAGCAAACAAACATCAAAAACCTAACCCGATTCAATTCATATTTTGACATCCTTTTTATTAAGGCTAAAGCAATCGGAGCTGATAGATACTGTATAGACACATCGATTATCAATGCTAAATTTTATATTTAGCGTAAAAGAGATGAAAAAAGAGACAAAATTTATATGAATTAAAATTTTAAGGGAGCACAGTGAATTTCCTTGTGAATCATGGCAAACTTATGAGTTTCCTTCTCATGGTGCAGCATTATTATTTTCTTCATCTCCTAATTCTCTTTTGTCATGTTTTTTCATAGCTGATTCAAGAACCTCAATAAAACTGTTGGAGGAGGAGTTATGTTGTCTAAGGATGAAGCATGATGAGATCCTTCAAAGAATTAACAACATGCGGTACTGGTCAAGATCTATGTGAATGTGCATAAAAAAATAAATATAATACTACAGGTTATCTGAATCTCTTACTTTGCGCGGTTTGGCCAGTCTCAATATTGTTTGCACAGTTTGCACAATTGAAACAGATATATGGAGAGAGAGAGAGAGAGAGAGGTGTTTAGAGTGAGGAATTTATATGTACAATGGCTGTTTATGAATCCTTTGCTTAAAAGTTTCTAAACCTCTTTCTCAACTTACAAGTGTCTTTCATGAGCTAAATGGTTTACTTGTCATCATAATCAGCCATTACTGTACAAACTCCCTGATTTAGTACTCCATATCTTATCTACTATCAGACAGTGATCAACTAAAGCTTATAGATCTAGAGATGCAGTTTCTCTAGCATTTGTGATGAAGTTGTCTCACGGACTAATTCATGTTAGTAAACTTGGATTATCAATAATCAAGTTCAAACAGTTATATTTGGATAACATAAAAGAGTAGTTTGTATATTCCTCTGTTTTTCAACTCTCTTGTTGAGATTTCTGGTCTGTTCTTATGTTGTCAAATTTAATCGATTTACATTTCAATGCAGGATTAAATTGTTCAACCGCAAAAGAGGTTGGCAGTTTCACTTTCATAGTGTTCCACACATAATTAGTGCACTCATTGTTCTAGATAACAAATGGTGTCTGCATATTCTTTATGTTCTTTCACAAATAAGATTTGTTGCCTTTAATAATTTTGGATGCTACCAGCATGCTTGGTTTGGTTTTGTGAAGTCTTGTGTTAAGAAGTGTAAAAAAGCTAATTCTTTGATTCACTGTACTATTACTATGTCTGTAGAGTTATAATTGTCGTTTGGAACATTCCCTCTACATGGCTCCACTGCTAGCAATTTTTTATAATGCAGTAGATTAGGAGAGAAACATGGGTGTAATGTGCTTGCCACAGATAAGCTGATGTATATACTTCTGAAACCCATCCACATGTTGAGCAAACTAGTAATTCTTTCATGTTAAGTTTTATGGGTATTTCTCTCTATTTGACATTTGATGAGGTTTTGTGAAATTATTTAACAGCTATTAGAATGTCTAATACAATTCCATTACCTAGAATTTTGCAATCCTTTTTCCAAATAAAAATCTCTCAAAGCTGTGTGTGATAGTTTCCATAAAAGTATTACCAGCACTTCAGTTTTAGAATTTACTTTATCTGATTTCCTCATATAACTGACTGAATTGTTTTGGCACAAGGAAGGGTTCACTACATCATGCCTAGATTTCCAGAGGAATATTGAAAAGGGACAACTACCAAAGCAAACAAACATCAAAAACCTAAACCGATTCAATTCATATTTTCCTAATTTTATAAACCAACCTAGTGAGTTCACAATGGTGAAAGGGGCAGTTTCGAAGAAGGGAATTTCAGTCTAGGGTTTCATAGAATGGAGATGGAGAAAGGGAGAGAAACAAGTTGCAGCGAGAGAGAGAGTTCGAGAGACATACCTTGAGGCGAAGTCGAGGGCACGTTATGTTCGCGGGATAGTCTTCGAGGGCGAAGAAGAGCTTCGAAGTCGTGTCTGAAAAAAGCTCCGGAGTCGTGTTTGAAGAAGGCGAAGAGGAGCTGCAGAGTCGTCTCTGTCGGATTGGTCTAAAGAATGGTTTTGGGAAAACAAAGTGAAGAGGGTTTCTGAACATACAACAATCGGTGAAGAAAATTGTAACCGGTTTAGAGGGTATTCAATACTTTCAATCAAACTTTTGATGGTTGAGATTATTTTATAAATATCTAATGGCTTAGAATAAATGTGTACATGATGTGCACTCTTAATAAAGTGCACATCTTAACAGCTCCCTTCTTTTATTATATAATGCAAATCTAGCCTAACTTGATGTATGTCCCATCCCTAATAAAATGACAATAAATCCATAATTGTGGTGGAATAAAATAGCAATTTGGACAATTAATTATGCAAGTTTCAACAATTTTTATAACTTGGTCCATAAAATCCTAGGGAAATGAAAGCCCCTCGTAATGGCAAAAAAAATCCTCCCAATAGAATAAGAGTTTGGCTTATTTTAAGTTGGCAATTTTAATTTGAAAGAGCGTTTAGATTTGATTAGTTTATTTTAAAAATAATTTTAATGATCTGAATTATTTATTTTTTAAAATTTATTAAATAAAATATTTATGTAAAAAAAATAAGATGATTGAAAATGAATAACTATATATTTAAAAATTATATTTATCATTTTATAATTTAAATATATAATTATCGATATTCAATTATTTTATTTAATGAATCACATAAATATTATACTTTCCATATATAATTATCGATATTCAATTATTTTATTTAACGAATCACATAAATATTATACTTTTCAACAATTGATCAACCATTCGAATCATCAAAATCACTCCTAAAATAAGTTTATTGAGGATTTGGGGTCACTGCTGTGATAAATACACAGTAGTGACTGTTGTGGTTCATTTTGTGGTGCATTATGAGATTATTTTTATGATCTGAACCGTTCATTTTGTAAGATTTGTTGAGTACTTCAAGCCTACCAAAAATCATATTAATCGGATACCAATAACTATATGATTGATAACCAAAAAAATAAACAAGAAGTTTTTCTTTTAAAAAATAGTATAAAAATATGCAATTCGATCATATAGTTGTTGATATCCGATTAAGATGATTTTTGATAGGCTTGAAATACTTAACAAATTTTACAAATTGAACAGTTCAAATCATAAAAATAAACTCATAATGCTGTGTATTTACCACATGACCCATAATCCGTTTATTGAAAACCCTAAAATAATGTAGGAACCTTGAACGCGAAAATGCCGTTACAACTCACTATTCCCAATTTCCCCCCACCCCCACTTGTTCACATTCTTTCGTCTCCATTAAGAAGCTTCAAAGCAGAGTTCACAAAGCCCTCTCAATTCCCCAATCTTCTCTACCTTCTATAATTCGACTCTGATCATCTTCCAAGTCTGGTATGTTCTCAACTGTGGATTTCGCTTATCTGTTCCTCACGTTACTCAATTCGTATGTATACATGTTGCTTTTCGTTGAAATCACACTTTCAACTTTTTTACAGATTTCTATGACCTAGATTTGAATTGTTTTTTGGTTCTCTGAAATGTGAGCTTGTTTATTCACTTGCTTTCTGTTTTTATGCTAATTTAGCTTTTCAGATAGATAAGATCTGATGCCAAATCTGCTATTCCAAATTATCGAAGATCCATTTTTTGAATTATTTTTATCTATCTGCCTATGTATATATATTAGAAGTGATGGCACACGCCATACGTCCGCATATGATCATTTTGTTTCAGAAAAATAAGATTAGAAATTCTATGATTAAATTCAAAATCCGAAAATTGAAATGAATTTGGAAAAATCATTAGTTGAGAGATTTGAAAAAAAGAAAAAAGAAAAAGAATTTAAGGTATAACTGCTCATGTAACTACGTCAACACCAACTCTAGCCTTCACATAGATATATACTAGAAGGTGTGTGCACACGTGACAAGTGTTCTATGAAAATAAATTTGTTGATGGTAGGTAGATGGAGGATCTTTTTACAATTTGTCCAAAAAATATAGATGGAGGAAGAAGAAAACTGAAAAGTTATTAAATTTTAAAGTTTGAAATTTGAAATCAAAATCTTAAGCAATTGTATAGGGACCATTTGGGAATACAAAAAGCATGACAAAATTCACGCGAAACGGAATTGTACAATTTATATAATATAATGGAATAGATATATAAGATAAACTAGAAGTTGTGTGCACACGTGATGCGTGTGTAATATAATTGTAGATCAATCAAAACAATTATTCAAAATCTCACATAGCTAACTGCCTGCTACAGTTATGTGGATATTTTGTTCACACCAGTTGGGTGTTTAATAAGGTATATAGTATAGATATTGCAATCACACATTCAAATTTTTTATATTTCTATCACCTAGATTTGAATTGTTTTTGGATCTCCGAAATGTGAATGCATTGAGGTTGTTTTAGATTGATTGGTCACTTATTTATTCATACACTTTCTTGTTTTGATGCCAATTCAGTTATTCCAAATATTGAAGATACAATTTTTGAAGCTTCAATATATTTTGATTTTGATGAGCATGATTTTAATTCCATGTTGGAAGTAAGAAAGAAGTTGGGATATTGTTTGTAATGGAAGTGAAACTTTTGGTGGGTTTTGACGGATTTTAGTTTATTCAATCAAAGGGGCTTTGGGTGTTGAAATCTAAGGTCAGCAATGGAGGACGAAAAGAAGAAGAAGAAAAACAAGAAAAAGAAGAACAAGCAGAGTAAAACAACAGGTGATGTCACTGATGGCATTGGAGAATCAGCTAATGCAGATCAGAGTCATGCCATTGAGCAGAATCATCACAATGGTACTGAAGGAGTAAGTTTGGGTTTACCTAAAATTATGTTTTTCTCTAAACTCTGCTGAGTAACTTTGTGTTATGGCTCTCCGTTTTGGGGTTCTTTTTGTCATCATCTAGCAGCTGTTAATCTTTGGGTCCTTCTGCTAACTTTTGGTACTGGTATTAGCTGAAGCAGACAGAGAGGCAAGGGTAGATTCCAAATCTGCATTATTATAATGCCATGATTATGTTTCTTTGATTTTGACATTCATCATCAGTAATTTACTACTGGCTTTTTTACGGGCTAACTTGGAAGAAATGATAAAAAAATTGCAAAAAGAAAATGATAACTGCATACAGAAAGAGGTAATAAAAATGGAATTTACTGGGAGGAATAGATTGGTAATGCAACATAGATCTTTGTTGAGATGCTTTATTTATTGTAATCATATTAATTGCATTTTTCTTCTGCTGTGTTGACTTCCTTTTTTTGTGATAGGATAAAACATCGGTTCAACTGTATAAATTACATGCTGGCATTGAAGAGGCAATTGAAAAATTACAAAATGAAAATGAGGCACACATACTGGAGGAGGTAATAAAAGGTTAATTTGTTGGGAGTAACATAGTGGCAATTGAACAAATGACTTTGTAGTTGTGCAGCTTGTGCTTACTTTTTTAACATACTGGTTTTGTGATGACATCTGTTCTTTTGTATGACTCACAGGCTAGATTGGAAGAGACAATCAAAAAATTGGAAAAAGAAAATGATACACACATGCAGAAAGAGGTAATCAAAATTTCACTTAGTGGGAGTGTGGTAAATTAACAAAGAACTTTGGAAACGTATTACATTTTGTTTCCACTTGCATCAAGTTAGCCATCTGGCTATCCGATGCAATGATAGATCCATTATACTGTATGATTCACAGGCTTTTTTGGAGATGAAACTTTTGCAATTACAGAGTGAGAAAGATTCCTGGCTTCAGAAAGAGGTGTGCTTTGTGTTGGATGATGCGAATATCTTGAAGTTTGTATATTTTGGAATTCAGCAATTTATTTTTACCCCTTTCAAATTTATTTGATAGAACAACAGTTTTCTTTCCATGAATACTGCACATGATCATTTTTGCAGTTATCTTTTAATAGCCCTTCCTTTATTCTCCAAATATGAAATTATTTTGATTGGCTTTTGTAATCTAGTAATTTGAGGTTTTCTTGAAATTTTTAGGAAGCTGGTGTAATCTAAATTCTTGTTGTATGCAGGTTGGTTTTGAGGAGAAAATTAATCAGTTGATGGACGAAACATCTACTTTGAGTTTGAAAAGGGTAATTGCTTTTGTACATCCTGATTTCATCAGTAACATATACTTTTACTTCATATCACATTTCATTTATTTATTTAAACTGAACTCTCTTTGCTTCTCCTTTTATTATCATTATCATTTGCTTAGTATTCTACAATTTTGCGAGTTATCTCCAGGTGAGCTTAGAGGAAAAAATCAAGCAATTGGAGGGAGAGATAGATTATTGGTTCCAAAAGGAGGTAAATGTTTTTTGGTTATTTCATTGTGTCATTTTTTGTTTTCGTTTTTGGTTGGTAAGTGAATGGCTTTTACTGTCATCACTTTGGAGGTGGAATCAATAGTTATTCACTTTCTGTGTATTATGCATCATTTATCCTCATCATTACTGTACGGGGAGGAAATAATTCTCCTCGTATAATCCTGTTGACCCAGTCCACGCTCCTCCGTATGACGTCGCTTTGTTACCTGAAAACACAAACGTAAACTAGCCGGCGGGTGTGTGCCGGAAACCTCTCCAATGCCTAAGTCAGTAAGCTTGACAAATAGACAAAGTCTTATGCTCTCAGAAAGAATTGTGTTCAATTACCTCCTCCAAGGTGGTGCTTGTGAGCTTTTATAGGTTTCGAGTGGCATAATCCTAGTAGGACTTTTATTTCTCCATGCAGAGTCCTCCTAGGATTCATGTTCCTAAGGATAATGCTTATCCTTTTACACCCTCCCCCACTGCTTAAACCAAGTGGGATGGTTTTCTCCATGGCCGAACTACCATTTGACCGAGGTAAAGTAGGTCGAACTAACCTTAGTTCAGCCCTTCCCTTTACTCTTCCTTATATCGGTTTCTCATCTGTTCAACCCATGGTGTGTTTGGACCGAACCAACGACTCTCGACCGGTATAACTCCCAAATTGGTATACCTCTAAGGTCGGTATAACTTCAAGTTGCTCCCAGACCGAAGTACATTTACAATCCTCTAACCGAAGTAACTTTATCATTTGTGAGCCGAAGTAATTTCACCTCCTTGGGCCGGAATAACTTTGTCTCTCCAAGGCCGGAATAACCCTGCTCTCCTGGGTCGGAGTATCCATTACGCCCTTTTTACTTAGCCCAACTCGCAGCTCGGCCCAATTTTTCCCAAAAATTACCCTCTAAGTAAAATGAGATTTTTAATCCCAAGCCTTGTGAGAGCTTCAATATGTCAATCCTAATTTCCTGATTTTTTGATTAAAAAAAAAATCTTAGCATTTATTGATTTGGTCAAAATCTCTTGATCAACATTTATTAACTTTTTTCAATCCACATGCTTACATTTATTGATTTGGTCAAAATCCTTTAATCAGCATTTAAAATCTCCTCATACAAATAATTATAGATACAATCCATGTATAGTTATTGCAGTACCTGTTTCAACTTCTTTCATACACTATGGTTAGTGATAAGATTGTTAAATTATTTTTATAAAAAATCTTAAAAAACATAATTTATATATTAAAAAATTTAAAACAAATATAAATATCTATAATTATTCTGTGCATAGCACGGGTGATAACACTACTAAAAAAAACATTTTTTGCGACTGCTGTAAATCGTCGCAAATAATAAAAAAATAGTCGTAAAAGACTTTTTGCGACAGCCTATGCGACGGCAAATGGGGGTCGCGAATGTGGGGGTGGCAAATACTTTTTGCGACGGCAAAACAATGGTCGCAAGTTATTTGCAACCGCCTAAATTACTTATGGCGACCGCTATTTTGCCGTCGCAAAAAACAAAGAACAACACATGATTTTTGACAACCATCTTGTTACAGTCGCAAAAAAAAAATAAAAAATAAAAAATAAAAATAAAAAAAATCAAGAAACATAAAAGTGCAGCGTTAAGCACTCTAGGAATAACAATGACAAGAATTTAGACAATATAGCATTGTAGTTTAATCAGGCATTCCATTTGAGTCTCAAAATTGGAGCCATATGTGAAAGTTATTACAACTAAAAACTTGGGAAAAGTTCTTTTATGAAAAATATACAATCTAGATAAAATGCTAGTAAAGTCAAAATTTACAATGCTGGTGTTCACTACTGTACAAGGTACCAGTCGAGTTCCAATTTGTTACCATGGAGATACATGTTCCTCAAATCCAAGCTTGCACCTGATCAATACACATTATGAGGAGAAATAGATCAGAATATAGAATATCCAATTTCTAGATCTTTCTTTAGACATAAAGCCTCAAGTAGAGCGGAGAAAAGGCAGAGATTGCAAATAAATAAAGAAAACTTAATAAAACAGCAAAATAATTCAATGCTGGTGTTCACTATTCTAGAATGTGTACCTTAAATCTTCTTCTTAGGTTCCTAGAAAAGTTGAATGCTATGTATGTGGGCTAAATCCAAGCTGTTCGATTTTCATCCTGCCAAAAAAAAAAAAAAAAAAACAGAACAAGTCAATTTTCTACTAATTTATATCTATACTTTGAGGCATTCAAATAATAGTCCAAGCACATAACCCTATCAGACACCATACAAATGTTGAATAAATTTGTATTTAATCACTACCTAGAGCTGTTAATATCATAATGCAGCCTTATGTCATATATATGGGGAGTTCAAGAAATGGTGATGGATGAGGCAATGCCACTGTTACAGAGTAAGCAGCACATCTGCAACTATTATCATCCATCATTCCAAGGTTGTTAATCTTGTGATCTTTTTACAATAACAAGAACTAAAAAATTGGATGCATTAATCAACTAAACACATTGCAACAACTCAAAAGATTAATTTGCATCTTGCAAAGTGTATAATTAAGGAAGACACCTTGCATGAAAAATTAGGGTCCAAAACCCATCCCCACAAACACAACTATAAAATCTCACGATTTCACATCATGAGAACTCATAAGCACAATCATTCCAGTAAGAAGTGTTGCCTTTGAACAAAAGAGCTGCCAAAAACAAAGTTCAGGTTGCATGTACTCTGAAATACAAGATATTTTTCTTTTTTTTTTCTTCTTTTTGAGTTGGTACAAATGCAAAATCCATGCACACAAAGAACAACTCCAAAAGCATAATGTTTCTTTTTTCATAAACATATCAAATGAATTGAAAAAACAAAATTAAAAATAAAACCACATCAATATATGAAAACAGATTAAATAACAATAAAAAAGAAAAAGAAACAAGGAAGGTAGAAGCCTGTAAAATTCAACAGAGAAAATGATATATGACAGCTACCCTTTAAGAAAGGTGCTAAATATTGAAACAACTACGATTGTATTGAAAAATAATCACCAGAACAATGTCATTGATAAAACAGCTCACCTTGAGACAGTAATTTCATAGGGAAAGGAGACACCTTCAAGATTCGGTATGGGTGGAATGTGATCTTTTTTCCCATTCACAAATTTTACTATCTAAAATAAAACCTCATGAAGAGATGCTTCAAGTGCTGCCCTCCGATGACTTCTCTCATCCAGAGCACTCTCTGCCATCATTCACAGGGAAGCATACATCATTATGAGTTATTACTAAAACATTAATAAAAAGAGAGCAACGCACTGCAATGAACGTACCTCCCGGGTCTACTACTAATTTGGAATGATGAGAAATGACAGCGAAATGAATCAAATAATCATGTCAGCGAAATGAATCAACTAAGCATGTATTGTTCTATTACTTCAACTTTCTGTTACCATATAATTTGACAATCCATGTTAGAAGTATAAATTAGTTGATCATTTCAACTTTCTGTTACTTCAATAATGTCAATTGTTACACAGTGCCAAATGCCAGTGGGCAGTGGTCACTTTCTGTTTGATGCATTTCAAATTTGACAATTTATTTAGTACGGGCCTTTCTATAATTTGACAGCAGATCTTTGAAGTACTAGAATGAAAACAAATAATCAGCAACAATGAGAGCTAAAAGAATTTCAGCTAACATGGATTGCTCCACCAATAGCAAGAAATGACAGCGAAAGTTGAACTCCTAATCATGTATCATATGGAACATTTCAAAACTAATCACATTTTTCTCTAGTCTCTACTATAGGAGATAGCTAATCCATAAGCATTTCATGGTGAATGATTGCAACTTTTAGCTTTAGAATCTTAGTCCAGGTGAGATGAATCAGTCCAATAGTTTTATCCGTGGGAGAAAAAAATACAAACCTAATTTCAAAATCTTTGATCATATAATATACATAATTATGTAGAGTTCTAGAAATATGAATCAAATATTTAGTGAAAGGTTTAAAACTTGAAGCAAGAGTGTTTTACATGTTTATGAGTTCATAGCCCACGAGGTTAATCAGTCTGTTGCAGACTAGTGAACTAAGGTCTGTTTTGGTGAGTATACAAACATATATATATATATATATATCATTTGTTTTTTTTCTTAGTGGGCTCGTTAATCAAGCTTCAATTCAATCATCATAAAGGCACTAAGTAGTGATGCAGAGTGATATCAAATTGAATGAATTGAATTAGGTGTTTCAAGTTTTTGTTTGGGCATTTCATTTTTATTAGGGATTATTAAAATTTACACTTAAGTGAATGGCCATTTAATTGCACTTAAATCAATTAAAAGCTTAAAATTAGTTTAAGGTCATCCTATTATGCATATATATATATTTTTTTGGTATGTGAGAATTTCATTAAAAGAAACAAAGAATACAAAAATCAAGGGAGGCATACCTTTCAAATACCAAAATCAAGAAAAACACGAAGCAGCTAGACTAATTTTGAGCAAACATTCTGTTAGAAATCTACCAGTTTTTACACAATAGCAGATTAGAGTAAGATTGCTTAATAGATGCAAACTGAGAACATTGAACTCTAATATCAGAATTAATCTGATTCATCAAATATGTAGGCCTATGACATCCTTTGAAAGCCCATGATTTCTCTCTTACCAGATTTAGTATACCATTGCAGCCTAAGCAATTTTCCTCACTATATGGAAAAAAAAAATTCCTACTAAATTGGTTAGCAATCCATGATATCTAATTATCCCTAGAATGTTGAGCCTTAGAAAAGCAGCAAATCTGCTCCCAAATTGCTCTAGAGAATGAACAATTAAAGAAATATGAGAAAGAAACTCATTGTCTTTGTGGACAAACGAGACAAGTAGTGAATCAATCTCCCCCCAATCTTTGAGCCTGCCTTAGTCCTAAGCCTGCCTCTAATAGCCATCCAAAAACAAAGCCGTGTCTGGGAATGTACTTAGGGAACCAAATAATCTTATGCCAAATCACAGAAAGGGAATGAGGCTTGATAGCATCCCAAGTGTTGTAGCTTTGTATTTAAGAGAGGAGGAAATAATGCACTGAACCTCATCATCTCTAGAACAATTGGGCTAAAAGGAAGGCATTAGAGAGGGAGGGAAAAGTCAGGTCCAACGATATCCTTAACAAAAGGTCTGGCAATGGATCTAAGATTAAGAACCTTTCTCCAAGTCTAGGAGAAGTCAGAAAGGACTGTAAAAGCCCAAAAGCATTTGCCTCTAATAAGATATCTATAGCACCATTGAATTTATGGGTGTAAGAAAAACCAATGAAACTAGACTGACTGCTCAAGATCAATTGAAATTTTGGTTTGTGATCTATTTTTCATAACGTGCGATCTGTTGTGGATTTAAAATTTTATACACTCATACAAACTGAAACGACTGAAATATTATATTTAAAAATTTTGAGCATTAGAAGATAATTGACTAACAATACACAATTTCTAATAAAAATTAGGGAGGAAGACATTTATAGAGCAATTTTCACTATTTTATTTCCTTTGTTCTCAATGTGTGATTGTACAAGTTTTTATAAAACCCTTTTAAAATCTCATGTTCCCTTCTCTACACCAAATCGAGAAAACTGAACCGTAGAATGTGGTCTGCTTTGGTTCCTTAACCAACAAAACCGAAAGGTTTGGTTTGGTACTAAACTTTCCCTTGAACCAAACCGCTTACACCCCTAATTGAATTCACAGTTGAATGATGTTTAGAGTAAATGACCCAAATATGCTTGAGGAAATAAGCATGGTTCCAATCTAGAAGCTTTCTTATGCCAAGACCTCCTTTTATTTTGGGCAAGCGAAGAGTCCCTCAAGCGAATTTACCTGAGGAAATAAGCATGGTTCCAATCTAGAAGCTTTCTTATGCCAAGACCTCCTTCTATTTTGGGCAAGTGAAGAGTCCCTCAAGCGAATTTATTAGAATGAAGGTAAGAGTTGGTCCCTGTCCACAAAAATCCTAAGCAATTGCTCTATATGCAAGCATACTGACTTGAGAAAAGTGCATAGACCAAAAAACTTGCTGAAGAGAATAGACTGGATAATGTGAAGTCTACCAATGTAGGAAAGAAACTAATTTTATCAATGAGGCCTTTACAATTATTAGCTGAGAGCTAACTAGAAATAAGGGGCACTCCTAAGTATTTGACCGGAAGGGAACCAAGTTGAACCCGAATTAAATTGCAAAAAAACTATCTTAGATTGATCATCAATACCAATAATGTAAATCTTGCTTTTGCTCTTTTTTGGCGGAAAGCCAGAAAATTTATTGAATTTAAGAAGAGCATTATAAACTATTTAAAAGGACTGATCATTAGGATAACAAAGAAATCATCTGCAAAGCAAATGTGCCTAATGTTCAATTCATGAATCATGACACTTTGGATGAGAGGAAAACAAGCCAGAACTAATATGGTTATGAAAGATTATGTAAAAAACTTCATAACAAGGATAAATTCAATATATTATGAATTTATATACAAAGAAGTTAAAAGTTTTTATTTTGGTTTGTCATTTTTAAGCTTTGTGGAAATGTTCCACAAATAAAAAGGTTGTGCAGAGTTGAAGTAGCCGAGGCTAAGAGGACAACACATTTTAACATCTCCATTGGAACACCCATATAAACTACTTCATGAACAAACCCTTAACATACAAAATTGGACTCCACTTTTTGTCATATAATACACTTTAACAAACATTTTTAACATTTCCACTAGCCTTCTTAGTTAATATGGAAGAATGCATTATCAGAATAATGCATTGTGATAAAAAAAAATAATAATAAACATGGAGCTGAAACAGAAATATTTGTGATAAAAAATATCAGAGAAAAAAAATTCAGATGTGAATTTTAAAAGAGTGTGCCACATAGGACCAAAATCAATCCTCTATAGAGAACACTAAAGCAAAATAGAGGAGTCATAAAATCAACATCTCCATCAATAAAATATAACTCGAATCTTCTGAATATTTCATAGGTATATACATATAAAACTCAAATTTCAGATTCTACATGAACACGGATCTCGGAATAGCACAATTCGATTAGCACAAAAAAAAATTGAACAATACTAATTTCACATTAAAAAAAAAATTAGAAATTGACAAACTCAAATCCATCTAAAACAATTCCACAACCTTGAGCAATTAGATTCAATTTTCAAAATCCAATTCACAAAAACCTCAATCAAATTCACCGAAACACATTTATATCAACATCAACCCAATCTTTGCCGACTAACATTTAAACTTCACACTACACAATCTGAGTCATACTTCATAGATACATGTAAATATGTATGTATAGGCGCAGAGAGAGAGATTGAGAGAGATAGAAATTGGGAGAGAGGAAGAGAGAGAGATTCATACCGCTGGATATCTCAGACGACAATGGTGAGTGAAAGAGCGAGCGAGAGAGCAGAGCTATACAGGTCTGTGATACGAGAGAGAGAGAGAGAGAGAGAGAGAGAGAGAGAGAGAGAACGATCAGTGTTTGAATTTTTCTAGAACTAGGGCAAATATAAGGAAAACGGGTAAAATGGTAAAAAAAATTAAAAAAAATAAAAAGGAATGAATTGGTTATTTGCGACGGGTAATCAAATGGTCGCAATTATATAGTAGCAAAAGGTCACTTTTCTAGTAGTGTAAGTTAGTATACTATAAAACCAGAGGAAAACCCTACTCTCTCTCTTTTTCTTTTTTTCTTTTAATAACTCGATATCGACTATGGCAGGACCAATCCTACAGTCCAATTATGGGAGGCCCAATTATAGCTAGGACTTTGCCTTGTATGGATGGCCAATAAATTATATGCACTTCGAAGGTGTGGAACTTGAAATTTTGAAAAGAGCCCATCCTAAGCCCCAGATCTTGATCCCTAACTTAGTTGGCCACTATGACTCTTTTAAGGGTTTAGTTCCAATGGGAAGTCACGGGTTTTCATCAGGAAAAATTGAATTATGAGGCAAACACTTACAAAAGTGGGGAGACTAACTCCCATTAATGCTAATCTAATAATTAACAATTGACTTTTATTGATAAATAAAAATCCCAGAGGTTAAGAGAAAACCCTTCTCTAAATTTAAGCAATTAATAATGTACTTGTTGGATTTAGGCCTCGTTTGGCAAGTGCCTTTTTTAGCTAAAAAGTTATTAAAAAAAATCAAAAAGCCAACAATTTATACAAAAAAGTCAAAGATTTTTTTTTCTCTCTACTTTTTGTACATCTTTTCATAAAAAGTTATCACGAACATACTATTTTTTTTATATCACATTTTAACTAAAAAATCAAAAAATCACTAAAAAAGCATGCACCCTAACGAGGCTATAGTTTCCAACAAGCTGAAAATTCAAAAAAGAGAATTTGATAATACCTCTTCCTTTACTTCTCTACAAGCAATTTTTTTTTTAATTTATTTAAATTATTTCTAACTCTTAAACGGTAAGTAAAAGTTACATCAAAGTATAAAATTTTAAAATAAAAAGTTATAAATTATTTTATAGGAGCTATTTAGTATAATTTTTCTCTGTTAACTTACTATGTATAAATGACTTCAATAAACTAAACTAAACCAAACAAAACAAAATTGATTGTTATAAAAATAAGAATAAAGATGCTTTTAATTTTTATTTTGTAATTACTAACTCTATTTAATGTAACAATAATATCGTTAATGTGATATTATAAACACACAATAAAATTACATAGTATGAAAAAAAATCATAATTTTAAGGTACCACGCATAACGTATACATATGACAGAAAAGTCAAAAATAAGAAATGATTGGACGACGGTGACCGTTACCAAACAACTAAAGAGATAGATACGAGTGGCATAATTGTAATTTGAGGTGGAGTTGAAGGGGTACGACACGTGGGCGGTGGAGTGGCAGAGGAAAGGACACGTGGGGGATATTGTTTAGCCTATGGGAGTCAGTCTCTTTTTAATAATCTTAACTGTTAATATGTAGAGATTGTTGAGTATTATATATTTGTAAAAAATTACGTTGATCAGATATTGATACTTATGTGATCAAATCAATTTTGTATAAAAAATAAACGATAAAAAAATAAATAATTAATAAAAATTTGATCCAATGAGATAATTATCAATATTCAATCAGCGTTTTTTTTACAAATATATAGTATTCGGTAAATCTTATATATTAAACAGTTTAAATTATTAAAATGAGATCTATAATAAACCTATACGAGTTTAACAAAACTCTATAATCCGTGATTGAACTCGAAGCAGCCCCATAAACAAAACAAGCTGTGGGGTTGGGTGGATTGTAGTAGCCGACAATGAGGTGTCAAGTAAATGGAAGGACAGCCAATAGCAAATCTGGAACATGTCCATTTGTGAAATTTCAAAACTTTGTGTCACTGTTAGGTACAATGTGTTCCCACAAAATGTCCATTTAATCATTCAGTCTGATGTTTGCTTTTCGAGAAATCACTAATTAATTGAACAATGAGACAAAATTTATTTATATTTTTTTGTAATAATATAATTTTTTTATATTTATAGTACAAATTATTCTTATGACTAATTTAAATTCATTTTATATATCAGAGTCGCATAAAAAAAAATTACATTCATGATAAAATAAAGTTCAACTATCCTATGGATTTGCAATTTTCCTTTATTTTCTTGGGCCTACGACTATTCAACAGTAGGTCTCACTCTGGATATCAAAGTGTAGAATAAAATCTAGAGTCAAAATGACAAAAATGTCCTGTTTTTCATCTAAATTCCAACTCATATAGTCCAAGTATTTTTGACCTCATCAATAATAACACATACACAAGAAAAATAATTATAATCATTTTAAATGTGAATTATATCCTACCAATTTTAAATTTATGCCTTGTTCTACATTTTTAGGAAAAAATTTGAAAATTCAATTCCTTTCTAATATATTGTCTATAGCTCTCCCTGTGGTGTTTAAAAAAATGTTTTTTAACAATTTTTTTTTTTTTTTTTTTGTAGGTGGCCAGTTAAGGAGAAAATAGAAGAGAGGCAGTGAAAAAGGCTATTGGGCCGCAATGGGTAGTGGAGCCAGTGGATTGGAAGTAACTAACCATTAAAATAAAGGGTTTTTTAACTGTTAGTCCCAATAATTGAATCTATTATTCATTAGATTTTAAGTTTCTATCTCATGTATCAGGAAGTCCTGTTATATTTTTTTATCCGGATTTTGCCCCGACTGTTATACTACCAGAGCCATTGATGAATTAGTGGTGTTGGTGAACATGAGAATTGCCAAAGCCATTGATGAATTCGTTGGTGTTAGTGAACATGAGAACTGCCTCTGTGATCCTTGGATTTGAGAGAGATGGTGTTAGATCTGAGAGAGATAAAAAAAATCAACATGAATAGAGATGAGGTGTGTCGACATTGACGAGTTCCAGAGCCATTGATGAATTCGTTAGTGTTGGTGAACATGAGAACTATTTCTGTGACCCTTGGATTCGAGAGAGATGATGTTAGATCTGAGAGAGATCAAGAAAATCGACATGAATGGAGATGAGTGTGTCGACATTGACAAGTTCGAAGCTCTGTATTGTTTAAACCAGTGATAAATTTGTTTAAATCAGTAATAAATTTGTTTAAACCAGTAATAAATTTATCACTAATGAATTTGTTAAAAAATTTACATATAGCATACTTGATTTGAGAGAGAGGGGGGGCATCAAAACAAATTTATCACTAAATCAAGTAATAAATTAAGTAACAAATTTATCATTCATAAATTAAGTAAAAAATTTATCACTGAATTAAGTAACAAATTTATTAGATCAGTTACACGTCTGTAGAAGATCAACAACACCTTTCAATGCACTGATCGGACATTTTGCATCCTAAACCGGTGATGGAGGAAGATGGTGGCAATGACGATGTCGAAGATGATAGATTGGTGATGGAGGAAGATGGTGGCAACGATTATGTCGAAGATGGTAGATCGATGATGGAGGATTACAGTGTTGAAGCTAGCAGATGAATGATGGGGGAGGAGCAATGGTGATGGCAACGAAGGAGAAAGAGATGTGGTTGGTGATGGAGGAGAAGGAGGAAATAGTGTACCAGTGACATAAATAGGAGAGAGATAAGGGGAGAGAGAGAGATAGAGAGAGAGAGAGAGATAGAGAGAAATTTATCATTCATAAATTGAGTAACAAATTTATCACTGAATTAAGTAACAAATTTATCAGATCAGTTACACGTCTGTAGAAGATCAACAACACCTTTCAATGCACTGATTAGGCACTTTGCATATCAAATCGGTGATGGAGGAAGATTGTGGCAACAACGATGTCGAAGATGGTAGATCGATGATGGAGGATTACGGTGTTGAAACTAACAGATGAATGATTGAGGAGGAGCAACGGTGATGGCAACAAAGGAGAAGAAGATGATGATTGGTGATGGAGGAGGTAGAGGAGGAGAAAATGGTGTCACTACAACATAATTGATTTTTTACGGCTTGCAATGCATGCCGTAAAAACTCTTCCACGACATGCATACAAATGCCGTTATATGACATGCCGTGAAAAGTTGAACGTCATTTACAGCATACAGGTAAAGTTGTAAAAAATAATAAATTAAACGTTAATAACATACTTTGTATGTCGTAGATAATTTTTTACGACATTTTTGTCATGCCATAAATTACCATACTTTCCATGGCATAATGTTGCATGTCGTAGAAGGTTATTTTTAATATATTTATGACATATTTTGTATGTTGTATATAATATTTTACGGCATTTTCTTGCATGTCATAAATCATTACATTTCACGACATAATTTTGTATGTCGTAGAAGGTCATTTTTAATATATTTATGACATACTTTGTATGCTGTATATAATCTTTTACAGTATTTTCTTGCATGTCATAAATCATTACACTGTTTATGACATAATTTTATATGCCATAGAAGGTTATTTTTAATATATATATACATATATATATATATACAGGAATATAATATTGCCTAATAGTATGCAAACAGTAGCTTATAAAATGCAACCCGTGAACAAACCAAGCAAAAGCAACAACTATAAAGTAAGTAAAAAAATCTAATATCCATACACCAAACAATCTGCATACTAACTTCTGTCCTCAACTTCTATCATATCAAGTTGATAACAACCTCAAACATACAAACCAAGAAAATATATCCAAATTATAAGATTCACTAATCTTTAAAATATGACTTTAAACATCCAAAAAGCATAACTACAAACTGTAAATCAATTATTCTAATATTTAGTCTAAAAAAATGAATTGACTAGTCCATGCAACTGTACTTTCTATTACATCTTGAAGATCATCCATTGTCGCAGCAATTAGAGCTTCACGCTTTTTCCTAATTCTTTTCTCAAATTTTTTTTTGAACTCTGTGCAATACGCAAGAAAAAATAAGAAATAAAGTGGACAACAATTGGTTATAAATTCAATTTTATGCTAAATGAGAAATAAAGTACCTCTTCACTCATCTTGCTAGTTGACAATTTCACGATTCAACTGTAAATAAGAAAATGGGCATTCACATTAACAATCAGATCAGTAACAATAACAATCAGATCAGCAACAAAAGAGGTAAAACACACCGACTACATAAATTGTATCAACACTACAACAAAGCAAGGTACTTGGAGTAGATTGAGAGTACTAAGCAAAGCTCTGGTATTATTTGAATGAAATGAATAACATCAAATTTAACGCATGTTCTCATGCTTTAATAGCCTAAGTGTCTGAATGTAACTGAGCCTAGATGAAAACACTGTATCAAATTATAGCTAGAGAGTCTTACATACATGCTCTTCACTATATCAAGCAGACATTCATGTCAAAAATTCACTTTAATATTGTATTTGGAACTAGGTAAAAGGAATTTTTTAAAAAAAACTCTTGTCCCTTTAAAACAACATTTCTATATGTCCACCACTAAAACACACACACATATAAACAGAACGAAACATAATATCACCTAGCATAGTTTAGTTAATTAATTTAGATATTTTATTGATGCAATTTCCACTTCCCAAAAAATAACAGAAAAAATCTCTTTTTATTTATTTTATTTCCCCTATTTTCACTATGCGAATGAGGAGTTGAGCTTGGAACATTACCTGATTTACTCTAGCGGTGGCAAAGAACGATTACCAGTTCTTCAATTTCATAGATGTGACTTTAATTCTTCATTTACCAAAAAGAGAAGAACGATGACTGAGAATTTTAGATATAAAAGGTAAGTAAAAAAGAGAGAAGAAAACTACATACTTCACCCTTGATGTGGATGTTGTTTATGACTATCCGGGAAGTTCCCATTAAAGGCTTCACGAACTTAGCAAGTAGCAGAATATTTATGTCAGTAGAGTCCCAATCAAAACCCAAGCGCATGATTTGCTGTCAAAATACAGTTTGACAACCATGAGCTTTCTTCCATTCACAAAAACTTGAAAAAGATAAATAAATGAGTAACGGGCTTATGAAAAAAACATAATGTGTAATGGTCATAATAGTTAACCTCGAGGAACCACAAAAAAGTTGGGCAGCAAAACCACAAAAAAGCTCAGCAGCAGAATATTTTAGTAATTAGGGGTATGAAATGGAAAAAGGGTGGCATGACCCAATGGTAAGACTTGCCATTAGCGTCCCTGGTAGCACAAATTCAAGTCACTGAAAGGTTGTCCCCAAAAATGGGGGCAAGGCTACATACATCGGACATAGGCCAAATTAACAAAGCTTATACCCTGTTATATTGTTTTCTCTTTGAAAATACCCATGATAATCTCTTTAATGTCATACCACATTTTCTCTAAATGCCCTTTTGATTTCCATCTTTGTACAAAGTAGAAGTGTTGCCCCAACCCCCTGTTTTCTGTATTCAGTTTCCATCTCCCTTTTTCTCTCTTCGTCTGTGTGTGGGCATGCAAGTATGAAACTCATTGACTTATGAATCCAATATACTAAACCTGACATTGCAGTCACTGGGCAGAAAGCATAGCAGTCAAAAGTAATCCAAGGAAAAGACAATCAAAGAGAGATGAAAGAGGAGAATCGGAACACATAAATTCCAGGCTTAGAATCGAATTAATCAAATTAATCGAATAGATATGCAAACATAGTTTCACAACAGCTAAATCAGAGTAGCAAATTTACAACAGCTGTTCACACCAGAAAACCAGAACAAACAGGAAAACCAGAACAAAACAAGCCAGCAGCAGAGACATAACAGCCATATCAGAGGCATAGCAGACCAGCAACATAGGTAACCAACAGAAAAACAAAAAACCAGAACAAACAGAGTTTCACAACAGCCAGCCAAAAGCAGAGAAACAGCAAAGGTATCATCCATTCAAGCTTCATCATGGGTTTGGATCTAACATAAGTACTATGATTGAGATATTGCTAAGTAGAGTTGAGTAGAGTTTCATAGTTCGATTGTGTAATGAATGTATTGTGTTAACATTATATACACCCTAAGCCTCCAAAATCTACTGCTTCTATACTCCTGCCCATAGTAGTCCAATCGAAGTCTACATAGCTTTACACTGTAATGGCTTCTACAAAATCCTTGAAATAGTATATTCAAAAGTGTAAGTGACATGTGTAAGCTAGAGCAATAAAACAAAAGAGTTGTATCAACAAACCAGAATCACCAGAGATTTCATAAACACTAGTTATACTCGTTACAAAATTCACTCACACATACATGTTACATTTTAATAAAACAGTAAAATAGAAATATGAGCTTATGAAGCACAAGATAAAAATTAAAATTAAAGATTAAAAAAAATGTCAATTACAATTCATGCAAGGACAGTACAATTCACTCAATCTAATAACAAAGTGAACAATAACATTAGCTAGTATACCAAATTACATTCATAATACTACTCAATTCATCGAATCAACAATACTTGAGGCACTACTACCAAAATGCCGAGAGAGCAATAATACCCAAAGATCATAAGATATCCAATAAGCAATTACACAATCAACACAACAAAAAAAATGCTTGATTTGACTTGGTTCTCTCCTAACTACTTGTTCACCAAAAATTGATACACAATTCTCTCTACATCTGACTCAGATGCACCTATTCAAATCAAAATCAAGACAAAAAATGCAGCTAGATCCAGAGATCTAATCAATACACAAAAGCATCAAATTTCAACATCGATACAATATATCATTGATTCTGAAATCAATCAACTCACAGTATTGCCGAGAGCAACGACATTGAGGAAAGTGGAAGTGCAGAGCCTTAAAGGCACAGCTAGAAGACCTGGTAAGGCAAGGTCATTTAGTTATTGTAAGTTTTTAAATATATGCCCAATCAGTTCAAAGAAAACATAGATGTGCCCATTACATTTGTTAGTGGTAAAAAGATTTGATAAGCTAATTCTCTTCATATATATCAACAAAAAGAGGTGAAAAATAGAACATAACAACTTACATAGAACTTCATGTGCAGTTAGTCGCTTTTTGGGGTCTCTAACAAGCATTTTCCTGACTAAATCTTTTGCACTTTCAGAGATGCCTCTTCAAATATTTCGTGTTCAGTTTCTGTATCAAAATCGAAAAGAAACACACACACACACATATATATGTAAAATAAATATGAATGTAATAACCAAATAGCAAAATGAAAGAAAGAAAGAAAGGAAGGAAAGACAAGAAAGGAAAATTATGGCACTTGTTAAGTCTGATAATGAAAAAATCCTACCCACCCAAAATGGAGAGGAGAATGTAAATCATCACACCAGTGCTCCAAACATCTGCTTCTGAACTATAACGCTTATTTAGAACTTCAGGTGCAACATGTATAGGCTTCCAACCACGTCATGGAAAATTTCCCCTGTAATTTAAATTTATTAAAAAAACTAATATGTATTTTGCTAAGACAACTGATAAAGTAGAGCATGTAATACACATTCTACCAATACCCAAAATAAATAAAAAAATAATGAAAGGAAAAGTTTCCTTTCAAAAGATTTTGATAAGTTTCCTTTACCAACAATTTTTTTCCCTATCATGTTATCATAATCTAATTCTATCATGAAAGCACAATTTCAATTTAGCTGTCAGATATAGTTATTATATAAATAATTTTCAGTCGAGAACTATTCATTCTTTTCTACTTCCTTAGGGCTCACAAAGTAGCATCTATATTTTTGTCAGAAAATATGGGAACCTTGAATCAATAACCGAATCTTTCCAGAATTGATTATATTCATTTGTTGATGTAAAGACACATTAAATCAACATGCATACCTACTTCAGCAAGAATCCAAATACAATTCACTTTGTCGTCATTTTAGAAATTGTGCTAGTGGACATAGACAAGACAAACAAATCACATAGTTAACCTCAAAATGACCAGCCTTCCTACATTTCCAACATCCCTCAGAACTATTTCTTCTCAAAACAAACTAACAAAGGACCTATGGGGAGCTTTCCCATCCTCTTGGTCAAAGATTATCCGTTCTCTAGCAAATACTTGAGCCTAAAGAGGATTGCTTAGCTCAAGTGCTTAACTAACAGTTAAAGCCACAAGTAAAAGTTTTCAAAACTTACATCCACCAAACAATCACACTTGCTCAATAATCCTGGTCATTGTGTCAAAAAAGCTTGATCCTCTTTAGGTGAAAAGCCTCGTGATATGATTTTTCCCCTATCTATATGACACCTCAGTACTTGAATGAAATATTAGAACTCTTATAAACAATTACAACCTACAAAAGATGCCAATGCTACTAACATATCAGCAAAATCAAGTTTATTAACCATACAAAATCACTCAACCCTATGAGCTCCACCATAATCAAATACAAGAATCAACTTCTACGTACAACAATAGAATATGCAATTAATATGAAACCAGATGGGATTATCATGGGAAATGTAGTTTATTTATTAGAACTTCAATTGCAAAATAGAAAGTATCACAAACAGTCACATAATAATACAAAAGGGGCAAATAGAACAACAATTATCACTTACAGAGGGAATTGGCGAAAAGCTGACCATTCTCAGTGCTCTCTCCATCAACATTCAGCACCAATGCCGCTAGAACTAAAAATCAAATCTCCAAACAAGGATCCACAAAGGAGGAATCTGGAAAATACACAAACACAAACTTAGCATTAGCAACATCGAACGAGAAGAACTCACTTTACAATTGAAATTAAAAAGTAATAACAATTAATTTCAAGATTGTTACGATTGTGACCTTGCGAATCTTAGGAATGTTTTGATCAGAGATAACGAGCAAATCCGAGAAAATCACCATAAATTGGGATCAAATCAAAGAAAAACAAAATTCATGATGAGCAAGAACACAGAAAAACAACTCTCACATCAAGTATACATGATTTAAGCTCTAATCATAGAAAAACTCGAAACTAGGGTTTCAATTTCCAAAATTTAAATTGATGAAGAAGAGAGAATAGATATAGAAATTACCTTGAGAATACGAAGGTCGAGACTTCGCAAGTGTCTTCAATGGGAGAGGGATCAAGAGAGGGAGAGAGAATTAGAGAGAGAAAGAACGAACCTGAATCTAGAGCAAAAGAGACCCAATCAACAACGGAGACGGAGATGGAGCACTGTCTAAATAGTCGATTTGTTGTGTTTGTAGTATATGAGAGAGGAGACCTAACTAACTATCACTGTGTCTAAATAGGGACCTCGACCTTGACCTTGACCTCTTCGACTGTGTCTCCATTCTTAACCTCCTCCTCCTCTTCTTCTTCTTCAGCTTCTAAGTCATCGTTGTTGTCCTCTTCTTCTACATCTTGTTCTTTGTCTAAAAAGAATACACTAAACCATAAAATCCCATTGGGTGCAATTATCCCATAAAAGAATACACTAAACTATAAAGTAATGTATAAATTATTTTTTTATGTTGCCCTTAATTAGAAAAATTTAAGATGCGAAGCTTGATTGGAAATTGTTAGCTTTTTTAAATTAAAAATAAATAATCGGATTGAAATTTTTTTTAATAAAAGTTTTCACGACATGCTAATGCATGCCGTGTAAAGTTATAATGTTTTACGACATGAAATGTATGTCGTCTTAAGTGTAAATATTTTACAACATATTTTTGTATGCTGTGAAAATACATATTTTTTATGGCATGTTTTTGCATGCCATAAAAAATCAGATTATTTTTTTTTATAAGCCGTGAAAATATACATTTTTTATGGCATACTTTTGCATGTCATAAAAAAATTGAATTGATTTTTTTTTTTATAGAAGTTTTCACGACATGTTAATGCAAGCCATATAAAGTTATAATATTTTACAACATGAAATGTATGTCGTCTTAAGTGCAAATATTTACGATATATTTTTGTAAGTCGTGAAAATATATATATTTTACGGCATACTATTGTAAGCCATAACTATATGAATTAATGACTTACATGGTATGTATGTCCTTATTGAAAAAATGTTAACAACTTGCAAAAAAAAAAAAATAAAAAAAAATTATAAAATGTACTAATTACAACATGCATTTGATGAATGTTATAAACTTAAAGTTGTAAATAGTTAGTTTTGTTGTAGTGCCTGTGGTTTGGAAAATTACAAATACCTCCCTGTTCGAATTTTTTATTTAACATAATTAATTGAAAAAGTGAAATTTCTAACTGTTCACCTATATAATAAAAAAATTATCTGAATTATTAATTGAAATAAAATTTTAACATTATTAAAAACTGTTAATTAACTTGATGATTTATTAATAAATGGACCTATTTGTTATGAAATTAGAAACCATAGGGGGCATAATGTAATTTCTAGAACTACAGGGGTAATTTGTAATTTAACTAAACCTCAAGGGGTGTGTTTATAATTTTTCCAAAATTTTATTATGTATTAGATTGGTTTAGAGAATTCTAAAATATATTGAAAGAATTAGAGTATCTTTGAATATTGTAAAAGCCTAATAATGGCCTTTAGATCAAATTGATCCTAGTTACCCATTGAAGATATAGATGGCTATATAAAGGCAAGAGACCTCATAAGTGTAAGTGATTCTAACTAAAGTGTCCTAAAGTGCTTTTGTTATGTACTTTCGTTTAGTGTGAATAAAAATGTCATATTTTTGTGTGTTTTTATAGCGATCCCAATTTTAACCCAACCCTTGTTGTATCCTGGGCTCGAGTTTCATGATTCTATATTATTGTTCGTTTCTCTTTTTCCCTTATTCCTCATTGAAATTGAGTTTTGGAGTGCCTTGGTTGTGTTTGGAATAAGTTGGTTGCTAGTTGGTTCAAATTGTTGTTGTCCAGTTTTTAGCCTTTTCACTCAAGCGAAGCTTCTTGTGCCCAGGCAAGCCTTGCGAGCTCCCAGTACTTTTGCAAGCTTGCAAATATACTGGAATGGTATTATTCTTCGCTCGAGTGAAGACTCTTGCACTCGAACGACGGTCTTCTATTTATAAAACTTCTAGGAGTGTGTATTATGCGCTCGAGCGAGGTGACTTATTTGTGTCTGGTCGCTCGAGTGACAACTCTTGCGCTTACTCATCGAGCGAGCTGCGTGTATATCAGTTCGTAGTAACACCTTTTTACTTCACTTTTTCATACCTTTTGTTCCAAAAACCTTAGATCAGGACCTCCTCTCTCTAAAACTCTCTCTCTCTCTCTCTCTCTCTCTCTCTACATTTTTCACCTAGATCTAGTGGGTTCTCTACCCGTGTCCCTTTGTTAAAAAGGTAGTACTTCTCAAGAGCTCCCTTTTGATCCGATTAAAGCTTGGTTTCGGCGTTCTTGAAGCTCCTCCATCTCTTCCTTTGGTCTTCTAAGCTTGAGGTAAAGATTTTCTATACTTTCATATGTATTTTAACTTATTTATGAGTTTGTGTAACAATAGTGGAATTTGGGTGTACTATGAACACACCTAGGGTTTGGGTATTAAATCAAAAAGGGGGGGGGTTTCTAAGTGAATGAGTTATGAATGGTTATGGGGTTGAATGTGACGTTATATTGTGACAAAATAATTGATTTTGACATTTGAGTTGATAAATAGGAAATAGGGAGTTTGCCCTAAGATGCTTCAAATATTTATTTCATATAAATAAATAGAATTCGTATTGAAAATGTGAAATTGAATGGATGTTGACATAAATGGTGAAGAAGAATATGTATTATCACTCACCTATGAAATTTTGAATAAATTATTTGTTTTGAGATTGAATATCTATTAGAAATACCTGTATTGGGCTATCGGTAGAAGATAGCTATGATTGTTGTAAAAATTACATGAGGATTAGGTGAATTGAAACTAATCTCTTGTTGGTTGTCATTGAATATGGCTGTGTTTTAAATACATTGTATATGTATGATGTTTGGGAGGAGAAAGGGGATGGACTCCATTGAATTAAGTTGACATGTGTGTCCACGGTGAAAGTCCCGAAACCGCGTGTATACATGGGTGTCGATTCCCGCGGATGAAATTTCTGTAAAATGGAAAATTAAAGTGTTTGCATGATTGTTGTGTTAATTAGAGAACCTTTGAGTTGCAGTCTCAGTTTGGTGTTTGGAAAATAATGAAATTGGCTCATGACTTGAGATGAAATGAATTGATTCGAATTGAATTGAAGAATAATGCATTGAGATATAAAATTTGGTACTTTATGATCTTATGGAATATGAATGACTTGTCACAGGCATTGTAAATGCACATTGTACTTATGCCTTTGTTAAGACTCATATTTTGTGATAGATTATTTCCACTGGGCTTTGGCTCACCCTACCTGGGAAAAACTATTTTCAGGTGTTGGTGACATGCCTCTGCCAAGGCTACTTGGGAGGAAAAAGGGCTGAAGGCTTCTCTTTTTGTATCGTAACATTATAAGTATTTTTTATAATTTTATAAATATTTTGTAAAAAAATTATTGATCCGCAATTTTTTCTAGTAGTGTAAATGAAAATTTGTGAAAAGTGTAAAAACCCCAATAGGGGCTTGGATGTCTCATTAGTTGAGGGTGAGAATTTGTGACACAATATGATAATACGATTCGAATTATACATAAAATTAGTGGGTTAGAGTTGATCATTTTCTGACACGAATACTATATAACACGATCCGATAACATGAATATTAAACAGGTCAAGTTAGTATCACATTTATATAATACGAAATTGATACAGATAACCTATTTAATGAGAAATTAGTTATATATCTTAATATTATTTTCACTAAAGAATTCCATGATATTTTTTAATCTCTTACGTAATTATATTCAATTTATTAAAAAATATGTAAAATATCATTTTGAATTTAATATAAGTTTTGTTTTTGCTTTTAACTGAATTTCATGTGTTTTCTTGTCTATTATTTGAGTTAATTTAATAAAAATATAATTTTTATAAATTAAGAAATTAAAATTAAGTTGAAATTAAATATTTTTATAAATAATTTCATTTAATAGAGATTAGTTTCATTAAATTTAGGATAAATTACACTGACACCCCCTGAAGTTTATGTTTATTACAGTTCCCCCCACCTTTTAGAAATTACATCTCCCTCCCTGAGATTTAAAGTTTCATTATGGATTCCCCCCTCAGCAATTTAATTTTTTTAAAGGGTAAATTACATTGACACCCCTTGAGGTTTGGTCCAATTACTACCCATCCCCTAATTTTTGGAAATTACATTCACACCCTTGTGGTTAATAATTTCATTTCACAAACCCCCTACTTATATAAAAAGTAGCAACTCCTAACAAAAAAATAGAGGAAATTACAATTTAAAAAAAAAGTAAATAGAAGGGAAAAAAAAGAGAAATTAAAGCAAAGCAAAAAAGAGAGAGTGCATGAGTTCAATATTTTCATTCCGTTTAAATAATTACAATCGCAGGGGGGTTAGTGTAATTTTCCAAACGTCAGGGGATGATATGTATTAAACCCAAACCTCATAAGGTGTAAGTGTAATTTACCCTTTTTTTAAATACCAATTTTTCCCTCACTAGGTATATTACATTGACACCCCTCACATTTTAGAAATTACTATCCCCTCCATAAGGTTTAAAGTAGCATTACCAATTGCCCCCTCAGTTAGTATTAGTTGGAAAAAAATTAGTTAAAAAAAAAATTTGTTAGTAAAATTTTTAAATTTCTGTTTAAAAACCAACATAAACTCCTTTTTTGAATTTACGCTTTTTCCTTAAATTTATAAACTGAAACAAATTTTTATAAACCAAAAAAATTATCAAACAAGTTTTTATAAAAGTTTTTAAAATTTTTGTAAATATAAATTGAAAACTGAAACGAAATGGTTACCAAACATGCTTCAGATGATAAAAATATCTTAAAATTAATAAATAATTAGATAAGTTACCAACGTAAGAAATGACTTATCAAAAAATTCTTAAGCTATCAAAAGATTCTTAGGCTATTTATGGTTTCATTTTTAGAAAAAAAAATTTCAAAATTTAAAATTAATTTGGTTAAGAAATAAAAAATAAAAAATAATTATCATTTAAGAGTAAAAATAATTATCATTTTAACTTTTTGGCAGGTTATATACATACATATGACTGTTTCAATTTAATTTGTAAAAAATTATTTCTAATCACTCGAAAGATAAAAAATTATATAAAAATGATAATTATTTTTTATTTTTTATTTCTTAACCAAATTAATTTTAATTTTTTTAAAAAAATTCTTAAAATCAAACCATACATCGCCTAAGAATCTTTTGATAAATCATTTCTTACGTTGATAACTTATTTAATTATTTGTTGATTTTACGTTATTTTTACCATCTGAAACCTATTTGGTAACCATTTTGTTTTCAATTTTCAATTTATATTTATAAAAATTTTAAAAACTGTTATAAAAACTTGTTTGATAATTTTTTTGATTTATAAATAGTTGTCGCAGTTTGTAAATTTGAGAAAAAAACGTAAATTCAAAAAATGAGTTTACATTGGTTTTTAAACAGAAATTTAAAAATTGTACTAACAAAATTTTTTTCAAATAATTTTTTTTCAACTAATACTAACCGAGGGAGCAATTGGTAATGCTACTTTAAACTTTATGGAGGGGATTGTAATTTCTAAAATGTGAGGGATGTCAATGTAATTTACCCAGTGAGAATAAAATTGGTATTTAAAAAAATTAGGGTAAATTACACTGACACCCCTGAGATTTATATTTATTATAGTTTTCCCCCTTACCTTTTAGAAATTACATCTCCCTCCCTGAGATTTAAAGTTTTATTACAAATTTCCCCCTCAGCAATTTAATTCTTTTAAATACCAATTTTTCCCTCACTGGGTAAATTGCATTGACACCCTTCACATTTTAGAAATTACAATCCCCTCCATAAGGTTTAAAATAGTATTACCAATTGCCTCATCTATTAGTATTAGTTGGAAAAAAAATCATTATAAAAAAAATTAATTGGAAAAAAAATTATTTGAAATTTTTTTTTGTTAGTACAATTTTTAAATTTCTGTTTAAAAATCAACGTAAACTTATTTTTTGAATTTATGTTTTTTTTCTCAAATTAACAAACTGAGACAACTATTTATAAATAAAAAAAATTATCAAACAAGTTTTATGACAATTTTTAAAATTTTTGCAAATATAAATTGAAAACTGAAAACAAAATGGTTACCAAACAGGTTTCAGATAGTAAAAATGTCGTAAAATTAACAAATAATTAAATAAGTTACCAACGTAAGAAATGACTTATCAAAAGATTATTAGGCGATGTATGGTTTGATTTTTAAAATTCTAAAATTAATTTGGTTAAGAAATAAAAAATAAAAAATAATTATCATTTTTATATAATTTTTATATTTTGAGTGATTAGAAATAATTTTTTGTAAATTAAATTGAAACAGCCATATGTATGTATATAACCTGCCCAAAAGTAAAAATGATAATTATTTTTACCCTTAAATGATAATTATTTTTTATTTTTTATTTCTTAACAGAATTAATTTTTAACTTTAAAAAAAATTCTAAAAATCAAACCATACATAGCCTAAGAATCATTTTATAAGTCATTTCTTACGTTGGTAACTTATTTAATTATTTATTAATTTTAGGAAAATTTACCCATAAGTCCTAGTTTCTGAAAAGTTGAACCATTTAGTCCTAAAAGTTTTCTTATGCTCCATTTAGTCCCATTTGCACATCAATCTAATGTTTGAAATATTAATCTGATGTTCGAAACATTAATCTGATGTTCGAAATCTAATGTTCGAAACATTAATATGATGTTTGAAACATTGTAATGGGACCTTTCAGTATATAAGAAAACTTTTAGGACTAAACAGTGTATAAGTTATTAATTTGGGATTTATCAGTGCATCCCCCTTAATTTTATGACATTTTTACCATCTAAGGCCTGTTTGATAACCATTTCATTTCAGTTTTCAATTTATATTTACAAAAATTTTAAAAACTTTCATAAAAACTTGTTTGATAATTTTTTTGATTTATAAATTGTTGTCTCAGTTTGTAAATTTGAGGAAAAAACGTAAATTTAAAAAATGAGTTTACGTTGGTTTTTAAACAGAAATTTAAAAATTTTACTAACAATTTTTTTTTTTCAAATATTTTTTTTTTCAATTAATTTATTTTTTCAATGTATTTTTTTCCTAACTAATACTAACCAAAGAAGCAATTGGTAATGCTATTTTAAACCTTAGGTAAGGGATTGTAATTTCTAAAATGTGAGGAGTGTCAATTTTTTAGATACCTAGTGAGGGCAAAATCGATATTTAAAAAAATTAAATTGCTGATGAGGGAATTTGTAATGAAACTTTAAACCTTAGAGAGGGAGATATAATTTCCAAAAGGTGAGGGAAAACTGTAATAAACATAAATCTCAAGGGATGTCAGTGTAATTTACCCAAAAAATTAAATTGCTGAGAAGAAAATCTGTAATGAAACTTTAAATCTCAGGGAGGAAGATGTAATTTCCAAAAAGTAAGAGAAAAACTGTAATAAATATAAATCTCAGGGGGTGTCAGTGTAGTTTACCCTTAAGTTTAACTTGTGATGAAATTTTAAAATTTTTTTTAGAAATTTGATATTTTTAATTAAAGTGAAATTTTTTAACATAATACGTTAATGCAATACGAATTGAATACAAATTAAAAATAACATAATATGATAATATAAAATAATAAATATATCGAATTAATATCAAGATAATTCTAACCCAAACCTTAAATGACATAACACAAAATAAAATCGAACCCGACATGATACGACAGGAGACACAGCCCTACCATTAATATTATTATTTTGAAGACCATGATGTGCTGTAGCTGGTCCCCAGCTGCTGCTATTGGAGGGGGGACCACCGCAGCTTTTAGCTGTGTAGAGCTGTCAACTTTACAATTTAATTATCATTTTTAATTTTTTGACATAGATTCCCCTGTAAATTAATAAAATTTAATAAATCTCACTTTTTGAAAATTACAGTTCCCCTGAAATTTAAAATTTTATTATAGATTCTCCCCTTCAGCAATTTAATTTTTTTAAATACAATTTTGCCCTCATTGGGTAAATTACATTGACACCCCTCACATTTTAAAAATTACAATTTCCTCCTTAAGGTTTAAAGTAGCATTACCAATTGTCTCATCGGTTAGTATTGGTTGGAAAAAAAATCCATTGAAAAAAAAAATTAATTGAAAAAAAAATAAATTGAAAAAAAAATTTGTTAGTAAATTTTTTAAATTTTTGTTTAAAAACCAACGTAAACTCATTTTTTGAATTTACGTTTTTTCTTAAAATTTACAAACTGAGACAACCATTTATAAACTAAAAAAATTATCAAATAAATTTTTATGACAACTCTTTTAATTTTGTAAATATAAATTGAAAACTGAAAACAAAATAGTTACCAAATAAGCCTCATATGGTAAAAATGTCGTAAAATTAACAAATAATTAAATAAGTTACCAACATAAGAAACGA